CTTGAAATCCAACTTCAGAAGTTTAGAGAGAGCCAAAATTCAGAGCCTGGGCCTTCAACATCCTTGATCTTGACAACAAACAGTTCTCAGTCGATAGTAAAAGAATGAAGACTATAAAAGACCTACAAGAAGACACCGTTATACTTAAACCAGACAAAGGGGATGGCGTAGTTCTCATCTCCAAGACGGACTACTTTAATTCAATGGATAACCTTTTTATCAACCGAAAGAAATTTTTAAATTCTCTTAAAAGATCATAGTCAAAGATCCAACTCCATCACGTCTTACTTCCGTCCAGCGCTATCTTCTCAAACTGGTGAAACGTAATGAGCTGTCTCCCGCCGATTATGATCATATGCGACCTAAAAATGCAAAACCAGCACGAGCACATGGTCTACCCAAAATCCACAAAGACTACGAACGAATACCACCACTTCGACCCATTATAGACACCGGGTTCTACCCATTACCATGTCGGCAAGTACCTCGGCTCGTTATAGTCCCCTCTTTCTCAAGAAAACCACTCGAGATTATTACACTCATTTGTATTCATACAATACACGGATACCAAATCAAGTTTTCAATACAAATGATATCCCTAACTCCATCTGTTAGCCAGCCGTGACAGTTGGATAAAATGAGACTAACTGTAATCATTGGATCATGGGAGTCAAAAAAATTTCAAACATGAATATATTCTAAATGCTATTGCAAATCTCCCCCTTTCCCCCTCAAATCAATGTTGAAAGGAGTGAACAATCATGCACACACTTCTAGCACAACGTCACACACACACAACATTGCTTGGTGGGGAGTCATACAGCACAGGGATACCAATTCACTAACTGTCTCCTACTGTCACCGATGGCTGTCAGTTGGAGGTGGGTGCCCTTCTCATTAGTATTCATACAATACAGGGATACCAAGTTTTGAATAGAAATGATGTCCCTACCTCCATCTGTAGGCCAGCCGCGACAGGTGGATGAAATGGATCCAATTGTAATCTATTTGCCTTTATCACGGTGTCGCCATCTTGGATTTACGTCACTTGTCACGCTTGATGATGCACATCATGCCGAACAAAGATCACTGTTGTGTTCCTTTGTGTCAAAATAATAGGTCTAAAGCACAGTCTAATCACTTTTCATCAATTTCCGAAAGAGAAAGCCTTGAGACGCGAATGGATTGCAAAAATTAAGCGCGATATCGGGAAATCATTACAGGTAAAGTGAATTTCTTTTGACCTTTGACCACAGTTCAAGCGTTCAGTCAGGAACGAAGGAGTTTCATGAGAAGCACGCGCTTGATCAAATAGCCATTTAAAAAAAAACTTGCCAGCTCGCACTAGCACAGGAACGAAGGAGTAGGGATGGTAAAAACCAACCCCCAAAAACAAGGGAGGGCATGTAACTCCTTCGTTCCTGACTGGTGACAGAACAGAATTCAAATAAAACTTCAACTTACAGTTAAGTTTTGTTTAATTTTAGAATTCTATCCTGTTATCAGTCATACGTCACTACGGAGTAACATGAGATTTCAAGCGTGCGAGTGTGAGCAGGCATTGATATCAGGTCCGTATAGTAAAAGAAAAATACGTAATAGGTGATATATCCTTTTAATAAACGCATGTTGTGACAACAATCAATGCATAATGTTAGGCGTTAGAGTTGTTATTAGCAAAGTGGTGAAGTATTTGACTCCCAAAGTTAGGGTTAATGGGTTTGTTGTAGTGTCTGGCGAATGTTTCAGCTCGTGACTAACCGCCAGCTTTCAAGATGTCAGGAAGTGACAAGCCAGATGATATGCCATATGATGACGATGCTGTCCCGCTGCTATGAGCAGAGAATTTTCCGACATCGATCCCCGCTTCTTGTAGGAAACTTTTTACCCATCTCCCAACCGTGGAGCTTGTCACTTGACCGTAGGGTTTTATGTGGCTAGTTAGTAGCTTTGTGGTATTTCGTAGGGACCGTGTTCTCGTAAGATAAGGACGGAAGTGTTCAACCGGGCATATACGCGGGTCCGGTGGGTAAGTGTGGATTTCAATCGGGGCTTGGTGTGTACCGGGTCGTGTCGTTTTCAGCTTGTCCGGTATCGTAAACCATAATTTATTACCCATGTCCTGCATATATGTCAAAGTACGAAAGTGTCTGACATCTCTGCGCTGTGATAAGCGCAAGGAGATTAGTCAGCTTATGTGTAAGGTCCTTAAGAGTCAGAGTTGGTAGAGCTGCAAATGATCGCATGTATTCTAAGACTGTCCCAACGTCCCATACAGTGCTGTAGCGTGGCAGCGAAGGTCGTATTTTAAAGAATCCTTTAAGGAATCTAATTACTAGGGGGTGCTCACCAAAAGTAGACTTGTCACCAGTCTTGATTAAAGACGAAAGTGCGGAGCGCGCCGTGTTTATGGCACTGTAGCCCAGGCCCTTTTTATGTAAGGTTGTCAAAAACCCGAGGCCATCGTTGACGGTGGCATCTGTGGTAATTATCCCGGATGTCTTGCGGTAGGAAAGCCATTTAAGTAGGTACGTGTTATACTGTTTACCTGTGCTTTTCTGCCAAGAACGCATTATGAAGTCGATAGTGTTGTTATGTAGCCCAGTGTTTTCTAAGTGTTGCCTGATAAGAGACAGGGACTTGTGAAGAGGATGTATTTCGTGTGGTCGGCCTGGAAGAGTCAAAAGGCATTTCTGGGGTCCCAGGGTACGCATCCTGAGGCACATCTGCATTGCCTTTGGATACAATGCTTGTGTGGGCCAATCTGGGATCACACAAATGCCGTCGCTTGCTTACCTGTTGTAAAGTTGTCATGCTAGCGTCATAATACGGAGCTTCAGAGTCCATGGCCGTCCACCATTATGACATATGCTAATTTGAATTGGGATTGTAATGTGGTTTATGACCGCAATAGCAGTGGTGTTATCTATCAAAAGCCTTATGTGAGTGTCACGCACCGTCTTACAAAGGGATTGTAATCCTAGATATACGGCAAGTGATGTCGACTTGTCAGGAGTAAGTTTTACAGTCATAGATACCGAGTTAATAATAAATCCCAACGCCGTTACTTGCTGGGAAGGCAAAAATACTGACTTAGTAGGGTGTATAACAAATCCTAAAGAGTCAAACATGTGGAATGTGTCAATAACGTTCGCAACGCATCGGTCGTAAGTATTTTCCTGCAAAAATAAGTCATCGATATAGCTTGCTACAATATGCTCAGATTTGTGGAGCGTAGCGAGTGGGGGTTTTAGAAGTTTGGTAAACATTCTAGGGCATGATGATAGGCCATTTGGAAGACATGTGAATTGATAAAGCTTTCCTCTCCAGCGGAAACGAAGGTATTTACGATAAGCTTTGGCCACCGGGACTGAGTAATAGGCGTCTTTTAAATCTAGCGACGCCATATAACAATTCTTTTCAACAAGTTTGATTATCGATTGTACAGTATCCATTTTAAAATAGTGGTAAGTCACAAATTGATTTAGACCTTTCAGGTTTAGTATAAGCCGATGGCTACCGTCTTTCTTAGGACGGATAAAGATGTTAGACACTACCTCATCATAAGATTGTAGGGTCTCCTCAATTATACGTTTACCCATGAGTTTTGATACTTCGTTATCAATCACGTTTTGCTCATCAGGAGAGAATATGTGGTTTACAGGATGTTTGTGGGAAGGCAGGATGTCAAACTCAATTGTGGCACCTGTCACGGTTGACAGGATTTCATTATCGGTTGTCAATGTCTGCCAACGATTAATTGCGTTGGTAATACAACCCGCCTTAAAAGTATCACATCTCATGATTGGTTGCCTTAGATTGTCAGTTTGACCTAAAGATGTGCCAGGTTGGCTCAAATCGGGAGTAAGGCCGGGTGTTAGATCGGGGTTTTGAGACATAGTTCTGCAAAGTCGATGAACTAGATCTGTAGAGGATATAACTGGAAAAAGAAAACTATAAAGTATTCAATTAAGGTATACTCACGTAATACCAATATAGAAAGATGAACGGACCAACGTTAATTATGTGCTTCGGCTATGAAAGCGAGCGTACAATGGCTATTTGATCAAGCGCGTGCTTCTCATGTTACTCCGTAGTGACGTATGACTGATGACAGGATAGAATTCCCCTCACTGTGGCTGGAAGTATTAATCAAATATTGACAGTAGCATGTGTTATAACTAATTTCCAGGGACCTTTGTATTATGAGCATTCATGAATTAAAGGTGGTCACATAACTTATTATTGACAAACATATATACTTTTACTATTTGTAGTCATTCTCTTTCTGTACTAGGAATTGTGATCGAAGATGCACAATATGTCCTGAATAATTTCCAAGGACCATTTATTTTATGAGCAAACAAAAATAGTACTATTTTGCAGATTTTCACTGTGCTTGTATTTACATTTGTTCAGCAATAAAATACGAAGTATTCAACACATAATATTTGTACTCTAATAGTTACAACTTTTATTTTACTTTACATGTATACAACAAAACTCAACATCACTGAAGTTCATAATGCATTTTAACCTTTCCCTATTAGTAACCTTAGTTCACACTTTTGTATCCACAACGTCAGTGATTTTAATTTAAAGCAAACTACAGGAAGTTTGGATTTGCTTTTGTGTGTGCCCTGACTATTCTATCATTGTAAATTAAAATCCACTGATGTACATATAATGCAACAGGTTTAGTGAAATCTCTATTTTTCTACATAGAAATATACTTACTCAATGCAAGAAKACAAGTGATAACCAAAATAAAATAAATTCAATTTGTCCAACATTTCTGAAAGCACACTTTCATCAAAGTAAATTCTTTCATAGTGGAATTCTTTACGGCAATAGACATAGAAATCTGACCATTGGCAGCCAGTTAAACCTAAGCACCCCATTACTTGGTAGTAGTAGGCATGAACTTTCTTAAGTGAATATGCTCCACCAGAGATCCTCGGATAATTTAAGTTCTCCAGTTTGTCTGCAGGGGAACACTTTTAAGTCTCTTTTAAGTCTTTTAAAATCTCCAAAAGACCCCATGGCTGAGCTTCACTGTTATCATGCACCCTCCTGTCTGGGCTGCAACCAAGATGTGGCACTGAAGGGTTTATCAGGAAACCAACTTTGTGAGTTTCTCTGGCAAACTTTTTGGTATACAATTTGGCAGCCACATCCTCATTTTGAATCCCATATTTCATGGCAGCAGTCTGGATAAATTTGCCTTTGAGAAGGCGCTTTGATAAAGTGTCAAAGTCCTTCCTCCGGGAACAAATGTTCTTGAAATTTGAGGCAGTTAGCCTAAATTTTCTTAGTGAATGCCAAGCATTAGTCATAGATTGCTCCCTCGTCTCAACTTCAAATTCCACAGATTGATTATGGGTTACAGTGAGGGCACTAAAGAATAAATGTTCTCTTTCACCCAGTACAGTATGGCAATAACTGAGTTTGGGAAACTCAAAACCAGGTAGCTGAATACTTGGCTCTTTCTTAGCATTAAGTGGTTGCTGGTAGCTGATCACACAACCTTTAGGGACTTCACCATAGGCTGACTGAACTAGCACCTGCTCTTCCTCTTTGTCTGGCCATATCCTTAAGAAACCAGGATTGGGTTCAATTTCACTAAACGTTTGGGCTAGTATCCCTGGCAAGTCGATGTCTTGGAGCGGCTGTTCAAATGGTTTATAAACAGTACTTCTTACTCCTGACACCTTTCTCTTTTTCTTATAAGGTTCCCCAGTTTGCTTTGGTTTGGACTTCTGGATTACCAGTTTGGTCACTGCTCTGGGATTTATACCCTCTAGGCGGCTGGGAATATGCCATGTCTGTATGAATACAATTGGAAATTTATGCTTTTTCTGCAATTTGTATCATAAGTTTACAACTCGTGGTTTTCT